GATCTCTCGGCCGAGGAGGGCGCTGAAATCATGTCAGATGCCTTTACTTACTGTGCCGACGTTGCTTTTGGTCGCGGGTCCGTGACTAGTACGCGTATGCGATGCGACTGGTGGAATAACTATCTAGTCGAACAACGTAAATGCTTTCGTAAAGCGCGCAAACAGTTAAATAGACTAAAGAAACGTCAGGTAACCGGTACCGTTTTTGATGAAGCGCTGATTGCGTTTAGAGTTGCCAGGTCACGTTATAGGGCTTCGGTGGAGAAAGCCAAGGGTGATTTGCTACGGAGGGTTGTACAGAAATTAGATAAGGAGGGCCCGTGGTCGCCTCTATACCATGAGTTCAAAGCCAATAGATCCGTCGATCTGGCATTCGTACAGAACATAAAAGTCAACAATGTTCACACCACTGGTATTGAGGAGACAACGGAAGTTCTACTCGACGAACTTGTCCCTGACGATGTGCTCGAGACAGACAATGATTACCATCAACAGATTAGGTCGTGGGCAGCTATACCGCCGGAGTCACCAGTGTCTGATCTACCGTCCATCAACGAGCTCGTAACTATTGTTAAAACTTTGCCTTTAAATAAATCATCTGGTGAAGACAAAGTCTCAAATAAAATGATAATAGAAGCATGTAAATCCGCGGCTGATGCGATCCTAACTGTGTTCAACCGTTGTATCGCGGAAGGCGTATTTCCTCGTGTATGGCGACGTGGATTCATTCGCATAATCCCCAAGAATGGAAATAAACCCCCCGATGACCCTAAGTCATACCGGCCTATCACGCTTTTGCCATCTTTAGGGAAACTACTTGAGCGACTTATCGTTCCTCGTTTACTGCCAGGTGGACCAAAATTCCACAACAATCAATTTGGTTTCACTGTAGGAAAGTCTACTGTCGACGCGGCTCTTTCTGTCCGATCCATGGTAAATTCGTCTGAACACAAGTATATAGTAGGCATTTTTCTGGACATTTCCGGTGCCTTTGATAACGCATGGTGGCCAATGTTACTCTTAAAACTGAAAGGTCGTGGCTGTTTTAGTAACATATATAAATTAATATACACGTATTTCCTTCACGGTTCCGTTAAACTGAAGCTTGGTCATTGTTCTCGGTCGAAGTCTTTATCAATGGGATGTCCTCAGGGCTCGGTTATCGGTCCGTATTTATGGAATTTAGGATTTGATGATTTGCTCGCGATTCCCCTTCCTTGTGGCTGTACTTTGACTGGATATGCGGATGATGGCCTTTTGCTAGTACAGTCAAATACCCGCGCCGGACTGGAGAATTTGGCTAAAGACTGTCTCAGTAGGATCTCGCGATGGGGCGAACGAAATCGCTTAACTTTTGCACCCCATAAAACTTACCAGCTATTGCTTAAAGGAAATCTAAAGTCGTGGCCGTCTATTAAATTTAACAACGTTTCCGTAAAACGAAAGGAGTCGGTTTGCTATCTCGGTCTAGTTTTGGAAAAAAACTTTTCTTTCATTGAGCATATTAAGGCTATTAGTGAGAAAGCCAAAAAAAACTTCTATGCGCTGACGCGAATTTCAAAAGCCACCTGGGGTCTCTCTTTTCTTACGCTCAGGATCATATACGGAGCAACCTACCTGGGATGCGTGTGCTACGGGGCACCTGTCTGGGCTGATAGGGCCACAATAGGCGCGGTACGGCGAAAACTTCTTCAAGGCCAGCGTCTAGCCTTGATTTTCCTGTGTAAGGCTTATAGGACGGTTAGCACTGAAGCCCTACCTGTGCTCGCGGGCGTACTTCCGGTAGATCTTGAGGTGCAGCGACGTGCTGCTATGTACTACAGTGCGAGACCTAATTTGTCAGCAAGCTTTCTGGCAGAACGTGATAGAAATAAAATTGCAAGATTGTTTAAGCCAATAACGGACGTTTGGGATGAGCTTATAACTGAATGGCAGGGTAGATGGGCATCTTCTATTAAGGGCCGCCACCTGTATCAGTTCTTTCCATCCGTGCATGAGCGGCTGGAGAGGACATGGTTGGAGGTGGATCACTGTGTTGCCCAATTTCTTACTGGCCACGGCAACTTTAAAGGCAAATTGTTCTCATTTAAACTTATTGATTCACCATGGTGCCAATGTTCGACAGAGGAGTTGCGATACGAGCAGTCGGCCCATCACATACTCTGGGAGTGTGATCTCTGGCAATATGAACGTAACACTATGTTAAATAATTTAATTGTTTCGTCAGGTGTAGCTTATTATACGGACCTTGTGGAATCTAGAACGAATTTCCGTGCGTTTAGGCGTTTTTGCCATACCTATTATTGGAAGCAAATATAACAGCTCACACAGGACCCACTTAGTTTTTAGTCAAATTTCCGTGGTGCTTGGCGACTGGGCTTCACCCAGTTGTACAGTCTCTTCTTTGTGCCTTTAGGCTTAATTCATTCTGTCTCCTGCAGTAATTCACCGAGGGAAAAAATCGTTAGTTTTTGTTAACAAGATTACGTAGGGATAGATTCCTACGTATACAGAACGATACCTTATAGAAGTAAATTATAGTATTGATGAGACCCAAGAGGAAATTAAAAACCAAACATACCAACTAAAAAAATAACAGCATGCCTTTTACCCCCGAAGGGGTAGGCAGCGGTGCCCATTATATCACTGTACAATATAACACCCACTTTTCACTATTTATGTTATGAGTCCCATGTAATAGGAAGTGAGCCTATTGCCATATACCAGGCACAAATCCAGACTCCGTGCTGCTACTGAGAATTTAATAATTAGAGGTAGAGAATAAAAAAAATCCGCTTACATAATACCAAAAATGGAGTCGAAATGATAATGATACAACGTAAGACGACGCAGTATAAGTATTTTGCTCTCTTAAACTGTCAAACACCAAGCGGTCACCGGTGACCGCAACCTATTGTTCTATAATTGTGTCTACAAAACCGGTACTCGACGAGTTAATTTGTCTGTGAATTATTAGAATTGTTAAATTTTATTTTTACTGAGACGTATAATGTCGTCGTTGCTCGAAGGTTTTAGACGTCCGCTTCTCACGCATAAGGTTGCGGGTTCAAAACCTACCAACAGCAAGTACCAATATGAGTTTTTCCGAGTTATATGTATGTGTTTTCTAAGATTATTTAGGTGACCACTGACAAACGTTGGCAGAAAACATTGAGCAAGCGTGGTGAATAATGCTCAAACCTTCTCCTTGCGAGAACAGACTTTGCTCAGCAGTGACCATTTTTAGGCAGGCAGGAAAAATATATAAAAATAACTCCAACAATAATAATCGCATGAAGTCAATGAATTAGTAAAAAAAGAGAAATCATTTCAACAGTCCACAAAGATAAGAATGGTATTGCAAACATTGCTTCAAAATTATATACAACACGTTTTTTTTTTAATGGGACAAGCCCGCCACAACCTCCCAAAACCGCTGCAACTCCTGTAAGCCAGGATCTACAGTAGATACAACCATGAAAACATCGGAACACTGAAGTCCGGCGCGTCCCAGGGACATGAGTAACTGTCTTGGTTCCCGCAACGAAGTGAATCAGAAGATATTATAAGAGGAGAATAATACAACACGTTTACCACAATAAGCCACGTTAAGCCAAACCAAACTATCTATGTCATATTCTATGTATGTACAGTTGTTTGTTTGTGTACAACATGTCACCGTCACTTGTGTTACGGCTTTGTTAATTACATTACGCGTAGATCTCTGTCAACACCATACAAACATGTTTAGACAGACATCTTGGCTTATTCGTAAATGTATTAGTTTGTAGTGACAGTTTTCTGTGGTTTTGTTTGATTAAGAAGAGAGAGGCACGTATTTTCAATCTCAGTTTTTATTGGAAACTAGCTGTAATCTTCCCGCGTAGAATATGAATTTTATTTTAGAACATTATTTTGGTTAAATTTTCCAAAATAAAAATAACCTATGTTACTTATTAGTACATTAGTTACCTGCCAATAGCCATCTTGCAATATCGGTTCAGTCATTCCAGATATAAGATAGTACAAACAGATACACAGACAAAATATGTTATTTAGGCAAGTGTATCGTATGTATATTCATACACATGTAAGAAAATACGGTTATTGTAATGTTACAAAACAGATATTCCAATTTTATTTTCCTGTATAGATTGAAGGTTTCTTAAATAATTAAAGATGAATGTCTTTTAACTTGTTATCTTAAAACTAGATAGCATCTAATCGTCATAATGTTAAGGTACAATATAATAAAAACGAGGTCACATTACTGAAACATACTAAAAAATAATAAATAAAACAGTGTAAAATAATTATAACACTGTTTCTATTCCACAAATTAATTGATGAATAACTAATAACTAATCTTCACTCTTCCCAACATATTACTATGTATCTATACTTCTTTTTAGCATACTAATGATAAACTTGAAACTTAAACTTGAAAATAAAAATAATTGTTTACAAAAAAAATTGAGTAAGTAGCTCGAAAAATTTGTCTTATCTTAAAAATACCTTTTACAAAAACCCTACAACCTTTTAATAAATACAGACCTTTCTTTTATACCTAAAATGTATCAGAATTTATACTAAAATCCCTACATTGTGCCTATCGTTACATTGTAATAAGATTGATGTTTCCTTTAGAAGCACTCGTTGAATGCGGAATTTTCATAAATCGCTTTTCCATAATGTGCCGGTTAGGAGTCATTGATGTGTGAACATGATAAATAATATCTCTTATGTGAAAAGCGAATATAATATCGAATGGTTATGTGCTAAAAGGGATATGACTTATAACGCCATCTAGTTGATGAGTGTGACATTAAACAGTAAAGCGCCATCTATTCAATATTTTCTATGTGGAACAGAATTATATTTTTGACTGTTACCTTGGTCCATACATTTGATTTCCCATGAGTATAGAAAATACTTATTTACAAAACCTATGACACAATTAAAAATCCAGTTAAGTTAACTATTAACGCCATCTATTACAGGCTCGGTCGAAACTACCAAAGAAACGGCGCAGAGTGCTACCAGTCGAGCAGCCTAGAAGAAAACGCGATGTCAGCGCCTCCAACCGTCGTGTTAATGCCGTGAAACACCCCGTAGTACTGAAGGACTTGCCCCCGGGAGGCAATAAGTTTGGTAAGTTAACTTTGATATCAGTTTTATAATGGAAACAAAGATGGCGCTCCGACAGTGTCATCGTTTCGCAAATTATTGCATTTTAAATAATTTAAACCATTGTTGAAATGCTACAAACTAAAACTGAATTGATCGTCAAGATTGAAATAAAACAGGATTAACAAATTTTAGTTAACTGTATTTAGATTGAAATACCAAATTGTTTTTATAATAACTATCGTAAGACACACTAAATTAACTAAAAATCGCGGGTTACTCACGTGAATACACTGAGAAAAGCTCTACTAGTTTCGTACAGTAGCCTGCGTGACATTACCGCGACTGCGCACGCTGCTCACGAGGAAGAACCTCTCTGTGGTTCGAAACTAGTAGAGCTATTCTCATTTTTAGTTAAAATACCAAATTATACTGATTTGTATAGTAACTTAACTTTGCATGTAGAATGAAGCATTTACTAACAAATAAAATCCGCAATTCCAGGTGTTAACGGCATGAACATGATCAGCTTGGCACTCCAGGGTCCAACCACAAACTTGCTTCGACCACCGACTACAGCAGCAATGCCTCTTCAAGCAAGAGCGCCTATTGGTAAAGCTAACATCATCTTATTTCAACCATAGCTACACAGGATATGTTACTCTTCGTCCCGATGTATACGTGGTAATAAAACCTGCATGCGATAACATCCCTTCTTGCAACCTTCATTAGCTTTCATATTTTTCATACCAACTTGGTCTGTCACTAAAACCGCTTACAGTAATTTACGCTAAAAATAAAACCTGTTTACATTCTTTCCTATATCCATTATGACCAGGGCTAAAATGCCAAACCACTTTTTGTCAATTTTATCATGTCTCCTATACAATCTTCCTTCAGTTTCCAATGCCACTGTAGTAATGAAAACTTCTCTCTTTGCAGTGGAGAGTCCAGTTATCAACACGCAGTCTGGAGCGATCTCGCTAGCGTCTCTTCAACCGCCTCTAATGACCGCCCCGCCCCTGCAACCAAGACCTGCAACTACCGGCTCCTTAGACCTCATGCTGCCATTACAACCCAAGTTACTACCAGGTTTCAACCTACAGTCTTCATTCCTATCAAACACCCTCTCCACAGTACGACCACCAGATATTGATAAAAAAGATGACTTTTATAAACCAAGGATTGAAGTTATTGTAGAAAAAAGAGAAATTGAGGACAGTGACACTGTCGAAGATTCAAATAAAATAGACCAAATAAATGGTTACAGTGAATGTAGCAACCATAATATATCTGAAGTAGTTGATAATGATAATGTGATGAAAGATGAAATTAATTCTAATTTAATAGATACCAATAGTACTGTGACTTCGAATGATAATGATGATAGTCCAAATAACAATTCTTATTAAATGTTAATTGTAAATGTTTCTAGCTGTGAAACCCCAATAGATAACGATGTCTCCCATTAGATTTTATGGAATCTGTAAAATAATGAAATCTCTTTTCTTAGATTTTTCTAGTCAAAATATTTGTGTCAAATCAAGAAATATTAGGGTAAGGTCACTTTATGAAATGATGTCCTTTTTATTTACTGTTGATTGGAATGTAAAGGTGCTATGTGGATGAAAATTTTTAAAGTTAGAAGAAGATAAATTCAACTAGTGAAAGTTCTTAAAACGAGCTTCACGATGAAACTGTTATAGTTCTTGACTCAATTTAAGTTTTATAATCTATGTATTATGTTCAAAAATTACTTTATGGATCATGTCGACCTTTTAATAACCAGCTATATGAAAATCCTTTAAAATATTGATGTTATTTTCATCCATAGAGCATTGTACAATACAATTGTAAACAAAATGCCAGTTTCGCTATGAGCGATCGTCTAAACGACCAAAACTAGTGGTTTTAGCTCGAGTATGAAATATTTTGTATATTTTGTAAATGGAAGACATGACAGTGATTGATAATTGTACATAGACTTCAAAGTTTCTTCCTTAAAATATTTACAGGAAATAAAATAATAATATGTCTGTTTTAAATGTATCTTGCATCCGTTAATAACATCCATAAATCTTCTATGTACCTTTAATATTGAATAAACTTCTGAAATTCGTATCGCAAACTAATTACGCTAAGTCATTTTGTATGTATAATGAATTAACATTAACTTTCGTGAGTTTTTCGTCATTTAGTCACGAAATCATTTGACGAGGAACTCAGTTCCAAGGTGTATTAGATGCTCAATATTCTTGAGCATGATTCCGCGACCCGCGACGCGGCGACAATCACGCTGCTAGTTTCAAATAGGCGAGGAAGCAGAAAAACATTATAATTATCATAATGTATTGTTATTAATTTAAAAATGGTCACAATATAACGTGTCAGCTCACAGTAAAAACATTTTGTATAAAATTCCCTTAACATTGTTAGTTATATACCAAATATTGTTTAGAACTAGAATATTTTTCTAATGTTATTGTTTTTTAATTTAATATTTATTTATGATCAGTTTTATTTTGGCATTTTTCTTTCTTGTAAATTTTAATATGTAAAACATTGATAATATCGATTTTAAAATATGAAATTGTGATATTTCTTAAAAGAAATGATGTTAAAAATATTAAATTGAAATGTATTGTTTCTGTCGTTTTAGAATGTAAATTCAATACTAATAAAATATGACTACTCACCTATAATGTTCATTTCACACAGATTTCATTTTCACGTGTAAATCTGTAAGATTTATATTTATTTAAATAAAGAAAAAAGCATTTCTATTAATAGATTAGCTTCTGTTATCATCATCATCATATCATTATAGCACATCCAATGCTGAACATAGATAGATGACCTGATTAAGATCGCAAAGATAAAGGTAAAAGATAAAGATATATTTATTTCTAAGTACATATTACACTGAGATCTTACATTAAACAAAGAAACACATATACTACCATTTCTGGTGTAGAAATATTAAATAAGCTAAGTCCATGCAAATCTTAGACATTACAATAATTTTCATTTGATACAATTATATTGATTAATCTGAATTGAGCGCTGGTGGATTCACGTGGCTTTCAACCAGCCTAGAAGTCATTGGGGGAGGCCTACATTAATTATGTTCAACAGCGGACGTCTGCTATAATAATGATTGCAAAACCATACAAAATAATAGTATGTTTTTTTTTATATATTTGATGGGGCGACGTTTGACCACTATCTCGCCTGGTGTTAAGCGATGATGCGGTCTACGATGGAGCACGTCGTCCCATAAGCAACCTATTCACTCGGGCCTTGAAAACTCCTAGGTTATACCCTTCTGGAAATACAGACTCTGGCAAAGAATTCCACTCTTTACCAGTACGCACAATGAAGCTTGAAGCGAAGCGCTTCGTGCGTGTGGGTGGGACATCTACCATGAATCGGTGACGCTTCGCCGATTTTCTTGTGGTACGATGATGGAAAGGACTAGGGGGAATCAAGTTGTGCAATTCCCCCGTTCAATTCAATTCAATCAAATTGTGTTCAATGTCCTGTTCACATTTATTTAAATTAAGTTTTAAGTGAGTGTTCTAACAGAATTAAAAAAACCTAAAACGTTGATAAATTTATTTTTAATGAGTCATAGAAATTTATGTTTATAATCAATCACAATTATTTTGGATCATATAGTATATAATTTTTACAGTTTACAATTGTTTGGCCAACCTCAAACTGATCAATAACGTTTTCTGTGCCCTATATTTTGTTGTTTAAATAAAATGAAATATAAAACAATTTTTTTGTATTCATTTCATTCATTTTTTGTAAACCCTAGTCTAATGCCTATGTCACGGAGAACTTAACGGGTTACCGGGGCTCCGGCTCGATGTGCAGGAGAAGGAACAGGGTGGTTTTTAGTCAGTAAGTGTCTGACAAGTCTCAGTCCCGCCTCACCCAGGCGGGAATAGTCATTGGAAGATTTTCCCCTCATTAGTCATTTGAAGGTTATAGCTAAGCAACCTGCTGCTAACAACGTGTTGTGAGTTCGATTCTCACACGGAAAAATTAATATAATGTCTACTGTCTATTAACTAGGTAACAATTTTTTGATCTTACGCCGCAAAAGCAAAATCATTTCATATGTCAAGATTACTTAAAATATTAATATTAACTACGTTAAGCTTTGTATGCAAAAATCAGTAACAACGCGTGTAAATTAAATAAGAAAAGTTTACACGTCTGCTCGATAGATGGTGCTGTATAAAAAAGTAGTTTTTCTGAATCGCGCTCTGGTTTCATTACATGCGTTTGGTAAGGTTCATGAGGGTGTTCTGTTTCTTTTTGTCATAAATATTTACAACTTAAAATTAACTACAACTAAACTATTTAGTAAAACGAAAGTAAAAAAAAGAATACAACAAAAATTATACCCTTAATTTAGGCGTTTTAGGCGTCGGCATCACTATCACAGGGGAACGTTCCCAGAAGACTGGCAGCATTGCCACGTTGAATGGCATTAATGGCGAATGAAAATTATTTCAACAAAAAAAAGAAACCTAAATAACTTGATTATGAATAAATATATAAGTACAAATTAAAAACAACTGAAAACTAAAATATTTACACCTTAAAAAATAATATTTTTAAATAAAAAATATATTATTGAAACATTGTACATATTTACATCATTTTTCGGTAATTTAAAATATCTTTGAAATCGTCGGCACTGTTTCGCTGATTTATTTTATTACTTATCTGACTTGTTAATACGCGTGATTAATTCAAATCAACGCTAAAATACTTAATTCAAGTAAAGATATTAATATGATCTTGAAAAGCTATGAATGTAAAAAACACAATACGTGACAATTACATTGTAATTGTATAATTATGCTACATTTTTCAATTTATTCGATAGATGGCGATACTTGTATGAACTGTAAAAGTTTTATTTGAGAAGATACCTAATCCTAAATACACAGTACAATCGAATTACAATTGCACTTACATTTATGAATCAGAATTCGACGAAAAATATAAATGAGTCAGAAAAAATATAAAAGAGTAAATAACAAAAAATAACAAATATTTATAAAAATGTCTAGGCTTAGGTACTCCTGAGATTTATAAAAACGTAGGATAATAATAAAGACATGTTACTATAAAAATAAAAATTTAATTATAATTATTATCGGGGTACAAAAGTTCTTGATACAGTTGAGCACCGTAACTAAATGCTACAAGCATTTAGTATATACAAAACCATAGCGCAATTCAACTGAGAGAAAACATTGGACAACGCCATCTATCAAACCAAGGCGAAAACTTTACACTATGGGTACTAAACATTTTGGAACGTGTTTATTTCTTGAAGCAAACGTGCTCAAGTATTCAAAGTAACACACAAATTACAGTCATAAATAAAAGTATGGAATTAATTTACACAATTTTTTTATATGTAACTAGCGACCCGCCCCGGCTTCGCATGGGTGCAATATGCACGTATTATACATATAAACCTTCCTTAAGAATCATTCTATCTATTAAAAACCCCATCAAAATCCGTTGCGTAGTTTTAAAGATCTAAGCATACATAGGGACAGACAGACGGCGGATAGCGACTTTGTTTTATACAGCGTCGCCGAAAAAATACGGAAAAAAAAACAGCGCTGTAGTGAAGCTACCAAAACGATTTTTCCAAATTACACGTACTTTCTAAGATTATTTAGACACCACTGACAAACGGTGAAGGAAAACATCGTGAGGAAACTTGGGCTTATAATTTCTAATTATGAGTTAGAACTCGTCAACCCGCATTGAGCGAGCGTGATGATTAATGCTCAAACCATCTTCATGTGAGAAGAGGCTTTGCTCAGCAGTGGGCAAGGCACGGCAAGGCAAGGCAGGTAAGGATGAAGTGGCAAGTGAAACCGCGTGAAGTAGCTAGATTAAATAAAAATTAATATTACAATCTACCATTTGTCTGACAACAATTTTAATTGGAAATGTCGTGCTTTAGTCTAAGCTTTCAATTATAATAAAATCTCTAGGCTGTTACGCCTGAGATTTGTCAAAAATACATGTATCGTCGTCTATTATATCGTCATAATTAATTAGAATAAGCAATACATACGTTATTGATGTAGGAAAACCAAACATAAACATGTCAGAGTTAAGCACACCCTAACTAAATGCGTGTAACGAAACCATAGCGCGATTCAGCCGGGAGCTTACATTATACAACGCCATCTATCGAACTAAGGCAAAAACTTTACACAATAGAAATAGTTGAGAGAATGGGAGATTTTTTTAAGTAAACGTGATCCAGTATATGTTAGTATTGTATCGGTAGAGATTAACCCGCAAATATTATAGTAGATACTGGTTATAACTGTATTATAACTTCCGTGAGACATAACGTAACATCACGCCTTTTATCTCCGAAGGGGGCGTCCATAAATTACGTGAGATGTTTAAGGGGGGGAGGGGGTAGACTCAAATCTCATCTAATCTAACGTTGGAGAGAGGGGGGTCTCGGCAAATATCACGTAATTTTTATTCTGATCGAAACAAAATTTACCAAATTCATAGTTCATTTATTCTAGATTGTACATGATATTTATAAGCATTCCACGACACACGATTTTGCTTCAAAGAGAAGAAATAAGCTGACAGTTTGCAACATTGTTCTTCTACCATTACCATTTAATTACTTCTTCTACTTGGGTGAGGCGAGAGGGAGTGTCAGACTCGTACTAACCAAAAAAACCACCTCGTTTCTACTCCTGCACTTCGAACCGGAGCCCTAGCAACGCGCTAAGCCCTCCGCGGCACCTTTAACCATCTTGGAATATTGTTTTTGTATCATCATAAAAACGTAGGTATGTAAGGCGAAACAAACTTTACAAAAATTTGCCCAAAAACTACAAAACTAGTAAACCAAACTCAATAATTATCGTACAAAGCACGAACATTTACAAGGTAATATAATTTTATTACTAGCCAAACAATTGTCACCTTTATAGATTAAAATGTTAATCACATCGGGTAGTGTTG